AAATCAGCTGAACGTCACCGTTAGTTTTACAGACATGCAGCTATTTAAAGGGAAACAAGTATGTTAGGAATTGAAAAATGGTAAAAAATCTAATTAAATTACACTCAATATGTAGTAAAATCACAACAAAGTAAACAAACAAAAGCAGCCAGTGTTAGAGTAGTTCACATTTTTTAAAGATATTTTTTAAATAGATTTATTTATTTTGAATGTAGATATAAATTCTATTTATCAAAATGCCGACTCAGCACTGTGCTGCTGTTTGAGAGGCCTGCAGAAAAGCATGACAGCAATAATCAATATTCTTTTTAAAAACCTCGATGTATGAAGAAAATAACGAGGAGGTTCTGACAGCTGCAGGCAGCGTCACTGGTTCCTCTTTAAATGAAACACTGTGAGAAAACCACAACACGACTGAAGACGAGCTCCTCAAGGAGACAGTCTGAGTCTGAAACCGAAACTTCTGATGAGTCAGACGGATGTTTGGACTCAAGATGACTTTAGGAACCGGTGACGCCCCGCCGGTCTACAGCTGATAAGACTTCAGTGGGTCTGAAGTGGGTCACAGGCAGAAAACAGAGAGTTCACGTCGTCATGAACTGTTAAACTTTGGAAATGTTCTGCACGTATTTGTGTGAAAGCCTCCAGTGGTTCTGTTGTTGTTGTTTGTCGTCTCTGTTCACTGTAAACACATAAAGAGAAGAAAACAACAAATATTGTGTCGCTCAGAGATAAAACAGGAAGTGAAGCTCCAGTGTGTCTGCAGGACTCAGATAACCACAAAACCCTCAGGACACATTACACCACACCACTGTCTGCACTGACGACGACAACAACAACAACAACAACAACAACAATAGTAATACATGTAAAATAAATATTAGATAAAATAAAAAAAAACAAAATAAAATGAACAGATCAATCAAAAGGCAACAAATAAATAAAAACATGCAAAACAAAAGGTTTTTAAAAAAAAAAATCAGAAGAATAAATAAATAAATACAAAAAATTATGGCATTTAAAAATAGATAACAACAACAACAATAATATGTATAATGCATATAATAAAATAAATGAAACAAAACAGTAGATAGTAAAATAAAGAGAAATTCAATCAGATTAAAAACACAGGATAAAAAAAAGATTCCAAAAATAAAAAACTAAATAAATTTGTAAAATAAAAAAAGACAAAATAAAATAAAATTACAAAATTGAATAACAACAACAACAACAACAACAATAATAAAAATGCACTGAAATAAATAAAATAGATAAAATAGAAAATAAGTAGGTGAAATAAAATAATTAAAACTAAATTAATGTGTATAAATAAAAGAATTAAAAGGAAGAAAAATAACAAACAATCTGATGGATGATGACGTTTTTAAGACGGCAATCGATCAGCACAGATCAGAATATAATTTATAGATATAGATAGTTAAAGAACAAAAACAACAGTGTATGTACAGCTTTGATTTCCTGTAAATTAAATTATTTTCTATATTTTTACTCGTTTTTATCTGTAATTTAACAAAACAGGAAACATCTGTAAAATAACAGTAAATAGTTTTTTAAAATGACAGAACTCTACAGGTGAGCTCAGGTGATCAAATACAGAAAAATAACAGTATTTGATCACCTGATCTCACCTGTAGGTGGGATCAGGTGAGCCACATTCCTTCCTGCAGAACTGAACAGGTACGACCCAAGCTGGAGGCTTTTGTTGAAATGATCCCACAACATGTTTGTTCCCTCAGAGCCTCGGTGTTTTCTCCTCGTGTCACCTGGTTCTGACCCGGTGGAGGCCGGCGTCCCCTCATCCAGGCTGGGTTCAGGTCGGGGCTCATATTGTTCAGGGGCGTCGGCGGTTCTCTGCTGGAATCAACTGTTTCCCCTCAGATCCTCCACAGACTGGTCTGTCCTGGACTGGTTTCTCGTTGTGCTTTCTTGTACGATGACAATAAAGAGATTCTGATTCTGATTCAACGACAGAAAAGAAAAACGTTTAAAAAAAATTATCTCTTTTTTTTTTTGCATTATACATTTTTGCATTTTATATTTTTGCCTTTAAAATGTTAAACACCATTTCCCCTCATAGTGTTTTTACCTGTTTTTTTTTATTTATTATTTTTTAATTTATTTAACTAATTAATTTATGATTTTTTACTTTCCGCAATTTAGCAAAACAGGGACAAACTGTAAAATAACAATAATCAGTTATTTAATACATTTTAAATTATATTTAAAGCTGCAATAAAACATGATGTTTTTGCAATATGTACAGATATATATGTACAATATATGCTAATTCTGTCTATTCAGGTTTATATTTTATAAGTTCCCTTCAAGGATTAATAAAGTATTTCTGATTCTGAATTTGACATTTTTAGCTCTCATACTGATAATACTAATATTCAAACTGCCCTCTTTGCTCCGACAGCAGAATACATTTCTGATGTTTAGTTTTTGTGTTTTGGTTTTTGAAGCCTGAAAACTGTCACGTTAGTCTCTAGTGTCTGTGGGCGTGGACGGTAGAAACCACAGACAGACAGCTACAGACAGACAGACAGACAGACAGACAGACAGGCAGGCGGGCGGGTCCCGGCAGCGTCACACCCGGGGCTGGTTCTCGGAGAGGGGCAGGGTCTGATCTCACTGCCGCTGCTGCCGCCGCCGCTGCTCGGACTCAGTGCAGCAGAAGCTCCGGGAGAAAGAGGCGGGCGGAGGCATGGAAATCCACGCACGCCACAGTCTCCCCCC